GAGATCACACAAAGCATCTGATCTTCACATTCTTGTTGGTTTTGTTTTTTTTTAAAGCAGACTGATGTGGTACGTTGTAAACTGCCAGGAGCACTTGCTAATTTAGTAGTTAATGACAGTCACAGAGAGTGTTTTTCTTGCCCCTGGAGAGGTTTTAGACACAGCTGGGGTAGATTTGCCACTATCAATTATGCACAATTTTAAACAAGAATTGGCCAGCAGGGGCCTCTTTTTTTTTTTTTCTTTTTTTTTTTTGCAGAGTGCAGAGCGTGAAGAATGGGAATGTGGCAGCTGGTACCTGCCTGAGACAGGGAAGATGTACAGGAGTCAAGAAAATATGGGAAAGATTAACAGCTTACTATTTTCAAAGTTGCAGTTTCAAATCAAAAGTTTAAGTGCTCCATTTAAAAGTGGCCCAGTGGTGGTTGGTGTGGTATTTTTATTTTAAGTTCAGCGTCCTAACTTTATTTGCAAGGTTTCATCTGGGCCCTGGTGTAGCCACAAGCAAGTCAGTAGTCTCTGTTTTTAAAAGCCAGCTGGGGAGTCAGGATCCTGTCTCAGGTATCATGTTGTGTTGTCTTTACATCCTTAAATGAAAACAAAGTATGAATTCGATTGGATTTAATGGTATGGGTCTCATTTCACAACAACAGTTTTCTACAAAGGGCTTGGCTTTGGGCTCCACTCCTCCAATGTCCATCCAGAGCTACTCCAGGTGCTGGGAGATGCCAAGGATGAGAAGCTGACCTAAGAAAATAGCTCAGGTCTAGAAGAGTCAACATCTGGATCCATCCAGGTCAGCCTCATAGAACAGCTGTGCTTAAATGACAGGACCTACAGGGGTGCAAGGCTGTGGCAGAGCCTCAGTTCTCTGGAGATGTGAAAGCAGCTGGATGGAAGGGCAGTGGAGCCATCCTGGAAAGGGACTGTCCATAGCAGGAGGAGTGTTCCTTATTCCCCAGCACAGGGATTCCAGGATTCAGGCACACAGCACTTGCTGGTCTCATGGCAACACTCATCATTTTTCCATTACAGGTACTTTAAGTGGGGACATTATACCCAGAAAACAGGAAAGTCACCACCAAATAAACTCTTCTGAGGACAGCTCTGAGCACTGCCAGTTGTTAATAACTTGGATTAACTGGGTTGGCTGCCATCTGGAACAAATGCAGCTCAGGATTAGCTGAATGCTGTTGTGTAGGTCAAAAAAACCCCTTCCTTCACTTATTGTGTGGTTGTGACACATTTTTCCAAAAATGCTGCCTCACAGTCAGCTGTGAATTAGCACTTCTGCCACCTCTGCCTCACCTTCTCCTCTCTCCCTTTGACAAGGGAGGCCGTCAGGATGCCCTGGTGATCTCCAGGATCTTAGATGATGCTGTCCAAGTAGCCAGAAGCGACTGGAATACCCCTTTGGAATGCCAGATGGCTGGTAGGAAAACAATGTTATATTCCAGCTGTTAGAGCTGGAACACATTCCATCGTCATCCAAAGGCAAGCAGCTCTCATTTGACTGGGTACACAGCGAAGGTGTCATCAACATTATTGATTTGCTGGAATTTAATCTCTGGTGTGTCTGGGAGCTGCAAGAGATCAGAGAAGTGATGTCAAGTACAGTGAGGAAGAGGCAGGATTCTGACACTCCTTTTGCCTTTTAATATTTGTGTTAATGGTTTTGTTATCAGTGCAACCTGAGAGGGCTGGACCCTCTCCCGGGAGATGGAACAAAGGAGAAGGGACAGAGCTGTGCCTGTGAATCCCTCCTGCATCCAGCAGCAGTGTTGCCACTCAGTGGGAGTCAGGGGGATGTTTGTCCTCAGAGACCTGGGAGGTTCCACCCAGTTCTACCCCACAGAGCACCAGTCTGTAACTGGGAACACCAGTCTGTAACTGGGAGCACCAGTCTGTAACTGGGAACACCAATCTGTAACTGGGTGCCAGTGATTTTTGGTTGCCCGTGGGTGGATGCCAAGCCTGTGACACAGGAGTGAGGGTTCCTGGAGCACCTCACCTGGTGCTGACTGACACCACTCACCTGTTGGAGCTGAACTAAGAGCCCTGGGAGGGGAGCTGTGCTGGATGCTAATCCAGCAGGATAATGTGGTGTACTTTGATATGAGTTGTGTTTCCTCGCCTCCCTGTCTACCAGTTCTGATGACATCTGTTTCATATTTCCCCTTGATAGAAGTTGTGACACATTACAACATACAAAGCCTGGCTGATTCCTAAAGTGAGCTTTACAGAGGAGGCATTTATGGGAAAAAAAAAAATCACACTTGGTGTGTGAAAGGGGGCCAAGCTCTGCTTGGAGATGAAGCCAGTGCTTGCAGGGAGTTGTTGCAGTTACTGCTGGATCAAGGTCATGGGTGCAGCTCTCTGTCTTATTATTACTATATTATACCTGGACAGCTGGAGGGTCAGGTTTGTTATGTGATCAGAGTCACAGCAGGCTGAGGGAGGGACAGAGGTGAAATGTTGCTCAGAAATACCTCGAGGAGCTGCAGGAGTTGTATCACACAGCCCAGGCTAAGGCTGCACAGAGTGCACACATGTAAATAGGCTTTACTCATGTGAGTAAACCTCCTGGGGCTGCATAATAGACTGTGTGGGGTATGTGTCTCCTTCAAAATGGTAATAAAGCTTTCTAATTGGAAGTATTTTAAGTCTAGACTGTAGTTCTGTCAGTGGTTTTCCCCTTCATCTTTTTTTTCCTGCTTCTGAACGATTTTAAACTGACAGCCCTGGGGAGTGTTGTTTCCTCTTATCTGCAGGAGATGTGTGGAATGGCAGGGTAAGGCATCCCACCTTCCCCTGGAAGGACCCTTGGATTGGGAGTTTGTGCTGTTGAGCAGCATATTCTGTGTGTGTTGTTATAGAGTGGATGTGGGGGGAAAAAAAAAATCCATATTAGCAGGGATGTCTGTACCCTCCCACATCTTCCCTGCACTCTTCTTTAATGGTGACACCAGGCTGGATAATAAGCAGCATCTTGTTTAAAAAGGAAGGGAATCTCAGACAAGGCTTTCAGAGTTCATTTTGTTGGTAGCTTTTTAAGTGGGAGTTTTTTAGGCTCTTCTGTTTCAAATACCATAATACTTTTTTGTGTTAGTAACTATGAATTACGACAAGCTTGCTTGATATGCCAGGTTATAATCCTTTAGTGGGTTTGTTTATTTGAGAATATAATAGGAAGCCGTATCAATTATCATGACTGTATAAATGTTGTTCCTCTCTACTAGAATATTCATCTTGAGACACATCATCAGATGTTACCTACTCTGACAATCACGTTTTTGTGCCATTGTTGGGCAACAGAAACAAAGAAAAACAAAATGTTAAGAGTGTAAGGGATAAAAGAGTGTTGAAACTGTTGTTCTTTCCCTGTCTTTGGAATCTCCAAGATCTTGAATGTTTTATTCCTGGCTGTTATTTTGTTACCACAGTGTGAATAGAAGTCATTATCTGTAAACATTTGAAAAGAGAGATGATTTTCATAACTTTAAATCCTACAAAGGATTCTCGTAATCTGCTACGTGCACGCCAAGGTAAAGCTCAGCCTTTCATCTGGTCTGATCCCACCCAGTCAGTGTAAAATGTTCCTTTGGTGAATGTCTAAAGCACGCAGTATCTCCTGTGAGAGGCAGACAAAAATGAAAACAGGAAGCCTGGCCTTGAAGGCAGCAGCAGGAGAAGGTGCATTAGAAAGGGAGATGTATTTGCAGCCTTCAGGTCGTGCTCTCTTGGTAAAAACCCGTTTTCATAGGTTCAAAGGAAGCCTCATTTTTTATTTTGGTTGAATTAATTGTTGAATGTGATCTTTGTGCTGATCTGCTTTAGTCTGCAGCAGCTGGGGGATGGGGGACTCAGCTCTGCTCAGGCTCAGCAGTTTATCAGGAATTTTCTGCTGAAGAGCTTTTGAACGTGAACATAAAATCAACAGGACCATTATAATGAACCAAAGTGCCAAGGGGGAGCTGGTGTGAGATGGGCACAACAGTTTATATGCACAGGGTGGTGTGTCTGGGCTCAGGAGTGGTAGATTTGTCTTCGGGGTCTGCATCCCAGTCGGGCTTTTGTGTCACCTGTAAGAAATGAGTTGGCAAGTCCAGCTCCATCCTCTAGTGAAAAAGCTGTTCCTGGTGTGGAACCCTCACCACTGGCACTGAGGGGCTGAGCCTTTAAGGTGCTGAGCAACCCTCTCTTGTTCAGACTCAGTGGGAATTGCAGGTTTTGGTCTTAAAATGAAGCTTTAACGTTTGCTTCCAGCGCTGTCACCAGCAGGGCTGCTCCCTGAGCCTGGCACTGCTCCCTGAGGGACAGGGAATTGTCACCAGCAGCATGTGCCATGGGTCATGTCCTCATCCTCCTTTCAAGGATGCAGGACAGGAGTGGGAGCCCAAAGGACTCCCACTGTGGGGAGACAAGGACAAAAGAAGTGGAAGTGGACTAAAACAGCAAGAGGAAAATCCCTGTCGTGGGCACCGAGTAGTGCAGTGCTGGTTTTAGGGAGGAATCCATAATGCTGGCAGACAAGCCCTTTTTCTGTCCTGGACAGGAACAGTAGACATTTTGAATTTGCCTTTTGCAGCATGTTATTGTGACTGTAGTTGCTATCTGGGTCGAGAAGCTGGATCCAGAGAAATTCAGAGGTAAGTGCTGGCTGGTGAGCAGGCTGTGATGGACCCTGAGAGAGACTCCAGCTGGAATTCCCTCCCTAGTGTCTATCCCCAGTGTTGCCCTGGCAGTGCACACAGCACACACAGTCTGTGTGCCAGAGAACTTCTGTTTGGCTGACCTGGAGACCAAAAAGCTGTGAGGACAAAGCAGCAGAGGAGAGATGCTGTGCCTGAGCTCATGTGGGTGACGCTGCAGGTTTGGGTGCTGCTGTCACTGCCGTGCTTGAGCGTGCTCTTCATTTGGATAAACATTAACTCGTGTTCTGAAGGTCACAGGTGATGTTCTTGGGGTGTTAATGCACTTCACTGTTACCTTCTCCATAGGGTATTTTTCTTTAATCTGCCCTACGAGTCCGTCATGGAGCGACTGTCCCAGCGGAGGACGGACCCCGTCACTGGGCAAAGGTTTGCACTCCTGCCTTGTGTTTAACATTTGTCAAGACTGCCAGGGAGATGAAAGCACCAGGTAGACTTCACAGAAATCTCAGGAACTCAGGAATGCTGTACTCTTGCTTAGGGATTCCTTAAAAGGCAAGGTAAAACTTTCATAGCTCTTGGAGCACCAGCCCACCCTCCTGCTGCTCCCCAGAACAGGGCATTTTACATCCTGGAGCCTGCAGGATTTAAAACCTACAGGAGCAAATAGCTCAGGTTTGACATTTTAATGGTAACTGAATTGGTTGGTAACATAATGCTGAGGGAAGATGGCTGAAACCAAACCTAAATGCAGATGGTTTTCAGACATTCCCGTGGGAATTTTGAAGGCTTCCCAGCTGGGGAAAATGGAAAACTTGCTGCATTTTACTTCCCCAGGCTCCTGTGATGGTCCTGTCTGGTGGGAGGTATTAATACATCTCCTGCTCAGTAGAGCAAACTCGTTGGAGCCACTGAGTCACTGGAAGGTTGGGCTCTCCAACGTGGCAGTTCATCTCACTGGCATCACACCCCCTTGTCTTACCAATGACCTTCAGCTTTACTGCCTTCTCCCCCCTTGCTTTTTGGAGAACAAGTAACAAATTTATCCTCCTAAATACCTGCTGGAGTTGGTGTGCATTTACAATTGTGGTCTGTTTTTATGATTCCCCACACTTAAATTTTCAAACCACTATTTTACTTTTCTAAAGGTCGAATCCTATTGCATCAAAGACAAATACTGAGCCCTCAAAGATTAAGGCCATAAATAGTGGATTTGTCCCGAAGTGAGAGCTGATTATTCAGACATCTCACTCGAGGTGCAGCATTAACTTGTGACAGCAGCAGTGATTTGCTGTAACTGCTCTCTTTGCTCTAGTAATGAGCGATGTGGTTGTTCGGCAGAAATGAACAGGCTGAAGCAAATCATTCACACATCTTTGCCTTTCTTATCATCAGGATTAGTATCTGTTCAGTATCTGCTCCAGTTAACACGCTTTCCTCTTCCAAACTCTGGGGTTTATTCCTCCCAGATTCCTGGTGAATTGAATTGTTTTCAGTGCTGGGTCTAATCCTTGGCACGGTGTTAACGCTGCACCCCTGCAGGGCAGGGGAGGGGTGGCCTTCAACTGTGCCCTCAGTGACTCTCCTGTGCAAGGGGCTCTGTGTCCACATCCAGCACCAGCTGGAGCTGGAATGCAGCTCTGTGCACAGACCCAAGCTCTGCTTCTCTTATCCCGAAACTTTCAGAAAATTTGGCTGTACAGGAAGAGGGATAAAGTGGTTTTGTGTCAGGGCAGAGGAGACATTTCCTCAGTTAGAATTACCGGTTCCCATGGCAGGGAATTTAAACACCTGATTGCAAAGGAGCTTTTAGAGATTGTTGGGAGCCTCTGGCAGTGCTGGAACACCCTCAGGATTCCTTTGCTGTCACCTGGCAGGACTTTGAGGATGAGAACCCTCTGTCCTGCTGAGTCCTTTGTTTTAAAACCCCAACCTAAAGTAGAAAAGAGGCACATGCAAGGAACTGTGATAGAGTATCAGGAAATGGCTGCTCTGCCCTCAGCCTGGGCTGACACAGGGGCATTTCTCTCTCCCCTCCAGATACCACACCACCTTCAGACCAGCTCCCACCCCGGAGATCCAGGCCCGGCTCAGGCAGAACCCCAGAGACCAGGAGGAAAATATTGAGAAGCGCCTGGAAAGCTATTACAGGAATGTCAAGGACCTGGAGGATTTCTATGAAGATGCCTTTTATGTCAATGCTGACCAAGACCCTTATGCTGTCTTTGAGTTCATAGAAAGCTGCATCATTAAGCCTCTTCCATGTAGGAAATTTAGACATTTGTAATTAAAAAGGACGGTGGCTGGAAGAGTTGATTTGAAAGTTTTTCCCTGTCATATTTGCAGTTGTGCAGGTTGCTGCAGTGGCAGGGTATCACAGGGGAAGAGGAAGTCAGCCAAGCTGTGTTAAATTTGGAGCTCACCAAGGCTGAGCGATGTACAGAGAGTAAGAAACTGGGCTGTAGAGGAAATTTTTTTGGCTTTTGCTTCATGATGCAAAGTAGGAAGCACCGTGGTGAGGGAAGTCCTGTTTAATTCAAATATCTTTTTCTCTTTCTGAGTAGTAGTTTCGTCTTAACTGTGTAATACCAACGAAGCCAATTTGGAGTATTAAAGCTGTTAGACGTGTTTGTGTCTTAATTCACCCACTGTTCTCCACTAAACCCACACAGGCACTGCTCTGTCCCAGGCTGCTGCCAGCAATCACTAAAGAATGAGGAAAGCAAAGCTCCCAGCTCTGCAGTGAACTGTCCCCAAACACAGCACAGTGTGCAGGTCAGGGTGCAGAGGTTTTTACTCCCTTGTCAACTCAGATTGCTTAAAAAAAAACGCTGATAAAACCCTCTGCAGATGCACCAGCCATCCCTGTCAGCCTGTTCTGCTGGGCAGGAAGACTCAGAACAGCTGGAAAAGATCTCCAGAGCCTCAGGAAAGTGACTGCAGGTTCATCACTTTCAGATCCCGATCAAGGACATAACGAGCTGCAGGAGCAGAGAAGTTACTAATTCTGTGTTGCTGGGGGAAGCCCAGCTCCAAATCTGTAGCTGCCCTGACTGGGCTGTGCCAGGGCAGGTTGGTGCCCAGGATTTCTGCTCTGACTGGATCTGGCTGCAGTAAATGCTCAGGTAAGTCTTTCTTAACTGGAAAGTCTCAGATGAAAGGCACAGCAGTCATTTAGCTGTCTCAGATTCTGCACATCCTTAATGCCTGTGGGAAAGGGGTGTGATTTGTGCTGTGGCTCAGAGGGGAACTGCCTTTGATGCCTCTATTACGGCTCCCTCTATTCCTCCCTTGTGTGTGAGTGTGAATTCCCCCTGACCAGGGGATGGGGAGGAGCCTCAGCTTTCTCCTGGAAATCTCTGTGTCTGGGAATGTGCAGGAGGCAAATGCCTTGTCCCTTCAGAGAGGACAGACCTCCAGAAGCCTTTTGCTTTTAGATGACTTCTCTGACTTGCTGTAAATAGCTTTGGGTCTTTGTTGCTGTTTTTAACTGTGTGTGTCTGATTCTGTCTGGAGAACTGAGAGATGTACATGCCAAACTTCCTTCTTGTTCCTCTGGAGTAACTCCAGGTGGGAAGACCCTGCTTATCTGGATGGCTGTGACAATCTTGTGTTATTTTGGGTGGCTTTAAAGTCAGAATTTTCAATACCTTTGGCAGGATTGGTGAATGGGAGTTGGACTTTTCAGCCTCGAGGGCTGGAAATCTTAAAAATCTCAGAGTGAGCATCTTTGAGATCTAAGAAAGCCCAATCCAAGCAGCTGAGTCCTCGATGCCTCTTGCCCTGAGAAATTCCAGCTCCTGGTGCCAGGCTGAGGCAGAGGCTGCTCCCAGGGCACAGGGCTCAGCCACAAACCCTCGTGCACAGCTGGGCAAGGGATTTGTAACAGTCCTACCTGTTACAAATGTGCTGTTTGGTAACTGCTCGGGCAGCTGGTTTTTATGCCATTGCTATCAAGACACGCTGCAGCATTCATGCATAATTGGGAGCCCTTCTATTAATAATACATGGGAAGCTCATCTTGCTAATATCACCTTCATCTGAGCGCTCCTACTAAATATTTTGATAGATGAAATGGGAAGAGAGTGGATTTAAATACTGTTTGTACTGCGGCTGGGGTACAAAAGGGACAGCGCATCTTTAATTAGACAGGTACATCTGCTTAATTAATTTAGCTGTAAAGCCCTTTTTCCTCTTCATTCTTTCATCTATATGCGGGCTCTATATTAGTTCTGCTCCGCTGGTTCCATAGAAACTGAGAAAAAGGGCTCAGTCTCATTGAGATGCGCTTGGCATGTCTGGGTATGGAGTCTCAGGTCAATGGTCAACCCCCAAGGGTTTGCAGCAGGCCTGAAGTGCAGAACGTAAGGGTTAGCAGAACATGCTAATACTCATGTAGAACTCTCCCTCAGAAACAACTAAAACAATTGACATTCATTTAATTACTGTAAACGAAACAGCCCCTGCATGACTTTGCATAGTAAAGCCTGTTAATGCCAAAAAGGTTCAGTGGGTGGAAGGAGGAATTAGGCTTTTATAATTGGAATGCAACACTTGAAAACCAATTTGGTAACTGCGCTCGATTTTATTAGCATCTTATTCTGGCAAAACAAATGTTGAGCAATGGGAAAAACAAGGTAAAGAGGAGGTGGGAAGAACACAGCAGGGATTAGATTTTACTTATTGTACAGCTTGTCTGGGTCTGGAATGGACATCTTCCATCACTCTGCTTCCCAGAGACACTTTGCAGGGAGGGCTGCTCGGAGGTTGTGCCATACCCTATATGTTATGCTGTTCATTACCTACTTCAGCAACAAGGTGTTTGTCCAGCTGTTCCACAAACTTTTGTGCCACCTGCTCCTGGCACCAGATCCTTCAGTGGTGGAAGGACATTTGAACAGCCCTGGACAGGACACCCTGTACCTCCAGCACCATCTCTGCAGGAACTCCCTGTAGCTCCTGAAAGATTTTCCTGCTCTGACCTCTCCCCCTGAGGTTTGGATGTTGCTCAGGTGATGGCACAGCCTCAGCCATGAACCCCGACCTGCTCCATGGAGCAGGAATGGCTCTCCCTCATCCTCTCCCCGATGCCAGAGCTGTAGGTGGCACCTGAGCCTCCAGCAGCTGTGCCTGCAAGGCTGTCCCACTTCCCGAGTGGGGACAGGGGGAAGGGCTCTGTGTTGGGGAGATTACACTTGTAAAGGGTATTTTAAGGCATAGCAGTGTGATCTGTTGGTCTTGAACTAGGACTGTGTTTGCATTCAGTCCTTTTATGTCAAGAAACCCTTAATGAGGACAGAGAAAGTGGTGTTGTGTCGCTCATGATCGCTGATGATACATTAGCCAGTGGAAGTCCTGGTAAATTTAAGAAAATCAGGGAGATGCTTATTGGCTTTGTGCATTAGCAACAAAAATTAGCATTTCCTCACTAGAAATATGCCACAGGATTAATAGGATGAGGAAACACATGAAAGGAAAGGGTGACTGAATGATGAAGCCCCTGACCCAGAGCTGAATTGAGGTAAAAGGCAGCAATGAAGTCCCCTGTCACCAGTTCCAGAGCAGGGGCTGTAATTTGGAGACAGGACTGAGTCCTCATGACCCCAGACTTCCACCTTAGTTCCAGGAATGGCATCCAGCACCAAGGCACTGGGGACTGTACAGTCCAGAGCTGTTCTGCTTATCCACCAAACCTGGATTAGCCTGGATTTCTTCATCCCAGTGGAGGAGGGATAAAGTCTGTTATCAGTGCGAGTAGCAAATCTTAAATGCTATCAGAAGCTACTTATCAGGGACAATGACACACTGGCTTTGGACACAGAACAGAACCTTTGGCTATATTGATTCTCAGCTGCAAGAGAAAATACCACAACCCTTAATAAAAGCAGCAGGAACCATCAGTCTGCTGGTGTGATTCTCCATCTGGAGATGAGGCACCATAAACAGCTGGAGTGTTCACCACCAAATGGTGAAGTAGTTCAACTATTCACTTGTTTGAAATGTCCTGCAACATTTAGGCAAAAACATAGTGAGATAAACTCCCTGATCCTGGGGGATTTGTTCTTGCAGCACTTCACCTGGTGTCTCTGCTATGTGTTAGTTTGGGGAGGCAACTCCACTAGTGGCAAAATAGCACGAGGAGCTGGCAGCAGGTGCTCCCACCTTGCTCCCTCTTTTGCCTTTCCCATGGGATGAAAGCAAAAGGTTTGGTTAGGACTGTCTGTGTTGTTCCAGTGCTCCAGGAATGGGACTAACCTGTGTGTTCCCAGAACTGCACACCACGAATCCAGGAGGTAAATGGTCTCCTGCAGCAGCCTCAGCTGCTCAGTGGGCAGAAAAACCCCCTCAGAGCAGCACCAGGGGTTAAACGTTACTGCCTGAGGGGGGCTCTGCTATTCCAGCCTTGCTGGTTAAAAATGCACTGAGGGACAAGTGCTGGTTTAAACAAAAATGAAATCCCCATTCCTGGGCACTGTTGTGAATGGGTCAGGTGAGAAGTGAAAGCTTCGTGCCAAAGGATCGCCACTGGCGTGCAAAGCTGACACTGTGGGCTTGAAAATTCCCTTCCCCAGCAGTCTGAAACCAGGTTCAATAAGCTGGCAGTGCTAGACTGAGTATTTACTGCCTTAAGAGACAAGGAAAATGAACATTAATGCTGCCACAGTAATGTGAGGTGTGCTAAAGCTTCTACATGGCAAAGCATTAAAACTCAGTCCGGGGAAATTCAAGAGTTCCAGAAGTAATCGCCAGGAATTAATCTAATCTGTTATTATGCTGAGCCTTTGGGTCAGTCAGACTGAAAACACTTCAGCAGATCAGGATATTTTTGTGGTTTCTAAGCCACTATCAAAGCAGTGACCTTTGGACTTTTTCTGAGAGCACTGACATGGTTCTGCAGAGCTCCCTCCCCTTTGCCACAGGCAGGAAAGTTTCTGATTTGGAACATTTACTGATGAGCAGGTCACGACTGTCAGGGCAAGGACTTGCAGCTTAGAACTTAGAACTTTCTCAAGCACCACAAGTAAAGCAGCTGTTCAGCTCAGGCTGGAAATGGATGTTCTGTTCCCTCCAAGCCCCATCAGCACTGGGAAGGAGAGCAGTGTTGTCCCAGAGCTGGCCCCAAACTCCACACACGTTGGCTATCGAGGTTACTCTGTGTTTTACTGGATGCCATCACGAGCTACATCTCCTTTCTTTGCAGACACACACTGAAGTAATTTCAATTTTCAATGCACAGCAATAAAAAACTAAACATTTCTTTAATACAATTATGGTACCACTTCCAAGGATATTTACAAACAAGGCTAATTATTTTACAGATGAATGTGCTTCTGCTGTTCTAGGCTACTGTAGTAATATTATTCTCAGCACGGTCACACTTATGCATGAGACACTGAACAGAAGGACAGCTGACTTGGTTAATGTGAGCTGAACAAAAACTTGCTGCTACTGGAGGTGAAGGAACATTTCCAAAATATGCATAGTCATTGAATCGAGGAACCAAGCACCAATCACACATGCACTGTTGGGAGACTGATGCTGTCAGGACAATTCCACGATTTCTCAACAGCTGTAGAGCACCTCCCACACAGTTAAAGTGTCAGGAATCACCAACAGGGCGACACCTC